GTCAACTGGAAGAGCCTTTAATGGTTTGGGGGTCATTTCCAACTAAATTGACCATTACTGGTGACCAGTTGGTCAACTGGGAGGGTCTTTGATGGTTTTGGGTGGTTTCTACCCAAAATGATCATCCCTGTTGACCAGTTGGTCAACTGGAAGGACCTCTCCTGGTCTGGAGTCATTTTGACCAAGAACTCTTGACCAGTTGGTCAACTGGAAGAGCCTTTGATGGGTTTGGGTGGTTTCTACCCAAAATGACCATTGATGTTGACCAGTTGGTCAACTGGAAGAGCCTTTGATGGGTTTGGGTGGTTTCTACCCAAAATGATCATCCCTGTTGACCAGTTGGTCAACTGGAAGAGTCTTTGATGGTTTGGGGTCATTTCCAACTAAATTGACCATTACTGGTGACCAGTTGGTCAACTGGAAGAGCCTTTGATGGGTTTGGGTGGTTTCTACCCAAAATGACCATCCCTGTTGACCAGTTGGTCAACTGGAAGAGTCTTTAATGGTTTGGGGTCATTTTGACATGGAACGGCCATTGGTGTTGATCAGTTGGTCAACTGGAAGAACCTTTCTTGGTTTTGGGTGGTTTCTACCCAAAATGATCATCCCTGTTGACCAGTTGGTCAACTGGAAGAGTCTTTGATGGGTTTGGGGTGATTTGTGACCAAAATGATCATCCCTGTTGACCAGTTGGTCAACTGGAAGAGTCTTTAATGGTTTGGGGGTCATTTCCATCTAAATTGACCATTACTGGTGACCAGTTGGTCAACTGGAAGAGTCTTTGATGGGTTTGGGGTGATTTGTGACCAAAATGATCATCCCTGTTGACCAGTTGGTCAACTGGAAGAGTCTTTGATGGTTTGGGGTGATTTGTGACCAAAATGATCATCCCTGTTGACCAGTTGGTCAACTGGACGGGTCTTTGATGGGTTTGGGTGGTTTCTACCCAAAATGATCATCCCTGTTGACCAGTTGGTCAACTGGACGGGTCTTTGATGGGTTTGGGTGGTTTCTACCCAAAATGATCATCCCTGTTGACCAGTTGGTCAACTGGACGGGTCTTTGATGGGTTTGGGTGGTTTCTACCCAAAATGACCATCCCTGTTGACCAGTTGGTCAACTGGAAGAGCCTTTGATGGGTTTGGGGGGTTATTAAAAAATTTGAAAAAATTCGAGGGGGAATTGGGGTGAAATTTGCGAAATTTTGGGAAGTTTTGAAAAAATGGAAATTTTGGGGATATTCGGGGGGAAAATGGAAATTTGTGGGAATTTGTGGGTTAAATTCGGGTCAAATTCACCAAATTTGGGGAAAATCAGATTGTGTGGGAATATTGAGAATTTCGCTGGAAATTGAGGGAAAATCAGATTAAATTTGGGTCAAATTGACAAAATTTGGGGAAAATCTTGAAAAAACCAAAAATTTGGGTAAAACCCAGAAATTTGGGGGAATATTGAGAATTTCGCTGGAAATGAAGGGAAAATCGGATTAAATTTGGGTCAAATTCACCAAATTTGGGGAAAATCTTGAAAAAATGGAAATTCTGGGGAAATTTGGGTAAAACCCAGAAATTTGGGGGAATATTGAGAATTTCGCTGGAAATGGAGGGAAAATCGGGTTAAATTTGGGTCAAATTGACAAAATTTGGGGAAAATCTTGAAAAAAAATGAAAATTTGGGTAAAACCCAGAAATTTGGGGGAATATTGAGAATTTTGATTGAAATGAAGGGAAAATCGGGTTAAATTTGGGTCGAATTCACCAAATTTGGGGAAAATCTTGAAAAAAACGGAAATTCTGGGGAAATTTGGGTAAAACCCAGAAATTTGGGGGAAAATCTTGAAAAAAACGAAAATTTGGGTAAAACCCAGAAATTTGTGGGGATATTGTGAATTTCTCTGCAAATGAATGGAAAATCAGATTAAATTTGGGTCAAATTGACAAAATTCGGGGAAAATCTTGAAAAAAAATGAAAATTTGGGTGAAACCCAGAAATTTGGGAGAATATTGAGAATTTTGATTGAAATGAAGGGAAAATCAGATTAAATTTGGGTCAAATTGACAAAATTTGGGGAAAATCTTGAAAAAATGGAAATTCTGGGGAAATTTGGGTAAAACCCAGAAATTTGGGGGAAAACCTTGAAAAAAACAAAAATTTGGGTAAAACCCAGAAATTTGGGGGAATATTGAGAATTTTGATTGAAATGAAGGGAAAATCGTGTTCAATTCGGGTCGAATTCACCAAATTTTGGGGAAAACCTTAAAAATTTGGAAATTTGACGGGAAAACACCGAAAGACCCGGGGATTTTTTTGGGGAATGACCCTCCCACACCCCTCCTGACCCTCCCACCCCACCCCCAGCCCCCGATAGCTCCTTACATTGACACTCCATGCCCTTGCTGGTGTTGCGGCTCTCGCCGCCCGCCAGGCAGGTGAAGGTGTCGCCGCGCTCCCACTCGGCCTCGGTGACGCCCAGGCGGCTGCTGGTGACCACCACGCCCGAGCCCTCGGCCCCGGCGGCCTCGGAGGCGGCGCCGGCCCCCAGGGGGTCGCCGTTGCGGAACCAGCTGATT